ACTCTGTCTGAAGACGCAAAGGAGATTTTCATGGAAAAGGTTAACAACACTTTCAAGGAGGACGAAAACATTTCTGACGACGACGACGAGCTAGACAGCGCCAAAGATTCTGAGAGTGCGGGGGGTGGTGGGAAGAAGGCGCCGCCGTCGTTCGCGGAGCTGGCTGAATTTTTTGGTCCTCTAGAACAATACGCAGAGTCGTGTGGCATTGGTGACGCCGGGCACTTTCTCCGCAAGGCGAAAATGGCATTCTTGGCAGCTACATTCGCTAGACCGGCACGGCAGTTGGACATTAGAGTGTTTGCCGACTCGTAGTGCAATCAGTCGGCTGACGCCTACAGTTGCAGAGCATCGTGGTGGTTGGGTTGATGCGCCGGGGTGGGGGTGTTTGATTTTTCTTGTGCTGTAGGGCTGTTTCAGTTAGTTTCGCGTCTCTACGTTGCTGTTTTCATGCGTTCTACACGTAGTGTTGAACCCCATGTTACACTGCCCGCCGGACAAAAAAAAATGATATGCCACCTATGATACAATGCGTTTGGACGTGGTTCCTGTGGTCTGCCTGCACATAAAAAACAGGTCTTGACCACAGAAGGCTCGGTAACCGTTGGATAATCAACGGCCATGTGTTTCATGCGGATACTGCTGCACACAAATAAACCACGAGGAGTGGAACAGTATACACGGCTTTACAGCGCATAATGAGTGTACAGCGTGAACATCGAAGCTCTCTATTCGATATAGTGGCACTATTGCCACTATCGACTGTCTAATAGTGGCAATAGTGCCACTATATCGAATAGTGGCACTGCCCTGAATAGTGGCACAATTCTGTCTGGCCACTATATGCCACTATATCGGGCCACCTACTGTATTCAGCCTTGATTCGGGTGAAATACATGTAATGCATACGTTATTCTTCGCGGGGAGATGACACTTCTATGCGAATGCCCTGGTCGAATTGTTGTTGGGAGAACTTCGTTGTGCACAGCAGCAGTTACTGTTTGCGAGTTTCACTTGTACGGAGTCGGCGGTGTCTTCGCGGTACGACGTCAGACTGATGTTGCATACAAAAACGCGTGCCGCTTGCGGATCGTGAAATCGACCTTTTGTTTGGTTGGTTTAGCAGTGAAGGTGTACCTGAGCGGGGAGCTGAAGGCCACACACCAACACATAGCATCGAGAACCCAAGAGTTGTTACACGAAGCACCGCTCCCGTACCCAGAACCAACAGCCGTGGCTGCTGCTGGCTGGCGGAAGAACAGCAGGGACGAATTCTGAAGTTTCGCCGCATTTTTTAAACACCCGCACACCGTGACGGAGCCACCCTTACATCGTTGGAGCTCTTTCTCGACTGTCCGAGACGCCCAGCTATCCAGCTTCGAAGACTCCTGCGGGTCATTCCCCCGTCGCGCGTTTGGTGTGCCGCGGTAGCTGGAGCAGCGGCAGAATCCTTCTCCTCGTCGCTGTTCCCAATAGCGTCCGTTCTCTGGAGGGTGCACAGAGACGCAACCCTGTCGATGAGGGTCAAATACCGGCTGCTTGCTCTCTGGAGTCTCCCTTCCCTTCGCTCTCCTTTGGCTTCTTCTGGGCAATTACCGTTGCCAGCCTCACCCTCCATGCCGAATTGTTGAAAGCGGGTGGCTGGTGCGGTAAAAACTCATTTGATCTGTCATCTAGCAGCTCTCCGAGCTTGCTGGGGGCTCCGCAGAGCCGTTTTCATTGGGGGAGGGCAATCGGAACAAGTCACGTTTTATACAGCCTGTTGCAGGTTGGTCGATCAAAGTTGGTTGCTTCCTGTATCCTGTTTTCAGTCACTCGCTTTTGCTGTGATCCGCTGGTACGAGCGAGTCAACGTGTGTGGTGGCCCCAAGGAGTATCTTCTGCGTGGCTTTCCTTTTTCGGAGGTCAATTCCTTTCAGGTACGTCTGTCTCGTGGAAGTTTCCTTCGATGTGGCGTCGGTTGCGAATCCGCGGCGCCGGGTTTTTCCATGATGTTGCTGGTCATGCTGCACGGGCGAGTGCCTTGAGACAGCGCGGGGTCCGTGCTGTAGGCAACAGTGCTCACAGGGAGGAATGAAAGCTTGTGCAGGTTCACTCAGGATCTGGCATGCAGGTAGTAGTCATAGTGGCAGGAAGATGCGGAGGTGCGTGCGTGTCGTGGGTGCGGAGTGTTATCATGTGTTCGACTTAAAGTTGCTGCCGCTAGTTGTGTGTGCTTGCTGTGCCAACCGATCGGATGCTGGCAACGCTTAGCGCTACGTAGAGCAGTACGGATGTTCCTTGGTAGGCAAGCTTGCATCGTCTTCCCGATACCCTCAGCTGGGAGTAAACTCATCGTTTTCCCGTGGGTGCATTCCAACATGTAGCAATTCGTACGTGCCGTCCTTGACTGCTGACCATGATACTACATGTACAGCTGAGACGGTGTGTTCCACATCCGCTTTGTCGAGAGAATTACATACATTCCACGCTGTCTTGTGTCGATGATATGCGGTCGGCGCCTGGTCGCCGTCGTTGGTCAACATCGGGTTGCCCTCTTTTTTCGAGGTACCTATGTGCAACGTGTCACGCCTCCAGCTACCGCGGCGTGTAGATGATTGCTCCGTGCGTTCCTTATAGTCGATGTATCATCATAGAAGAAACGTGAATACAAACACAGAAAGCCTACCCATTCGAGATAAGATCACAGTCGAACGGGATGTGTTGAAGTCTTTATTGTGAATGGAGGGAAACCGGCTGGGAACTGGGCTTATTTGGAGTCTATTTAACCCTCCTACAGCAGTAGTACCAGTCTCTCCGCAAAAAAAAATGCTGAAAATATGTTTGTCAGACATTGGTCGAGGGGCTACAGCAGTCCCTCCAAAGAATCTGAGCTCCTTGCCAGACAAAGGGTGACTTGGCTTCAGTATGAAAAGTGCCCACAAAACACGTGGGGACACTTTTCACACTGAAGCTAAGTCAACATTTTATTCCAGTACCAGGCGATGTACAGCAGTTTTGCGAACTGGGGGGCACGCGGGTTGGGAGATGTGTACAGCAAGTCAGAGGCCCAGGAGAGGCATCACACAGCATATAACACAGCGTACCACCTTAGCCAACCTTGCAAGATCAATGGTTCTCACGTACGTTGCATGCAGCGGAGCCTAGGGTGACTATAGTGCGGTAAATAGGCCTTTGAGTGCTGTGTCCCAAAGTGTCCCCAGTGTCCCCATTGAAGCTTCCAGTGCTAGGAGGGTTAAGCCTATAGACTACACTGAAAGTTGTTTATCAGTGATGCCAGCAGGTGCTAATCACAAAATCACTGTACACAGTACAGGTCCCTGTTTAGTGCCGGTTGAATAGTGCCGGTTGCCGGTATTGTGCCGGTCAAATCTCGGCGCACAGAACCCGCCCTGAATAGTGCCAGACCGGCACTATTCAGGGCTGCCCACGATAGTGCAGGTTTGGGCCCTACTGAACCCCACAATAGCCGGGTCAAGCACGCACGCACACACAACACACGAGACACACACAATACAGAAGACAGACACAGCGGAGAGGGTACACGTGCTTCCTCCTTCACCATTAGGTTGTGCCAGCAGGAGCTTCGCCAAAGTGTTACCGCCAAAAATCCATGGGCTTTATGATCAGTGGTTTGCTTTCGCTGTCGAGGTTGATGTTGAGGTTGCGCGAAATGGTTTGATTCGTTTTAAGGCCAGTGCCACGGCATTCTTGCCAACAAAAATTTAGACACTATGAGGTGCTTCCTTTGCGATATTCGTGTGAAGGGTTTAAGTCAGGTTGTGCAAGTGTGCAGTACGTGCGCTGAGGTGGGTACAGCAACAAGGTGCAGCATGTGTGTCCCTTCCAGTTAACTCATGAAGCAATTTATGTGTGTTCGACAGGGCAGGAACCACCCCTATCGTGGCACAGCAGTCTGCCCGCGACGCCCATGCCATGATCTCACCATGTACGTTTCATGTGGTACTCTGTTGGCCCCGCAAAGCAGAGCGCTGCACTCTGAAATCACACAGTTCGTCAACAGTGCTGGTCTGGCACTTTTAAGGGATTTTCAGACCCTGAATAGTGCCCCTTTGGCACTATTCAGGCACTCTGAAGTATAGTGCCGGTGCCCAGTATAGTGCCGGTGAAATTTTGCGCACACCCTGACACTAAACAGGGAACTCTACTGTAGGTACAAATACCACAAGACATTTCCCCCGTAGTTTCCTCTATCTACGGTGTCAGCGACAAAAATGTCGGGCAGAAACCCTCCGTTATGTCGCGTGTTGCAATGTTCTGCCTTCACAGGAACACGTCGCAGTGTCCCTTGACAACTTGCTGGATGATACGTCATCCCCGACGCCGGTTGGCGGGAGTCCGCGTGGTTGCCTATATTCTCAAGTAGTCACGGCAACCACCCTCCTCGCGCCTCAATACCCAGCGATCATATCATCCACATGAGAACAATAATCTCAGACGCGGGCGTGATGTTGAAGGACGAGTGCTGATTTCTGACACCACATGCTTCCAGTATATGTACATTTATTAGAGTTGTGAATCGGAACGATGTACACGATATATATCGTCCGATATATATCGATATCGGTATCGAAAATTCGTGCCGATGTTCCGACCGATGTTTTCTTAGGGGCTCCGTGAATCAAATTTAGGGTATGCGCAGCAGTACGGAGCCCCTGTACGCCACACACACACAGCACAGCAGCGCAGAAACAGCAGACAACAGCACCATGTCCAGAACCAACCGGGAAGTAGACACAGGGAGAGACCGAAGGAGGGTACTGCTGAGGATACGCGACAATACATCAATCTTAATCTTTTTTTTTTTTTTCTACATTCCGTGCGATGTTTGCAGCTGAAGTCAAGCCCTTTTTGATGCCGCATTTGGGCCCATTTTGACGGGAAATGAAAGGAAAATGCACCAAATTTTCTGCCTCCGGCGGCGCCTCCGGCGAGGCCCCCTCACCAGCCGGGGGGGGCCGATGGGGGGGCTCGCTTCGCTCGCCCCCATCACGGCTCGCTGCGCTCGCCCGATATTTTCTCCGATATATCGCCGTAGGCGATATATCGGAGAAAATATCGTTATATCGGCTGCTGCGCAGCCGATGTAAAATATATCGTTTTTGCGTACCGATTCACAACTCTAACATTTATACTTTTGTGTTGGCTGGTCGTTAGCAGTGGAGGCTGTTCGGGTGTTCCTTTCCCTTCTGTCTCCAGGTGGCTGTTCGACGTGGAGAGTCGTTGATGTTCTTTGAAGCAGCTGTAACATTGTTGTTTTGCTTTCTTGCACCGCAGTAGCGGGTAGAACAGCGAAGAGCACCTTGCTTGGACACAGGTCTCCGTATTACAGCATTTTCGAAAACGCACACGTCTACACTCGTCGTTGCGCACGCTGGAGGAACGCAACAAAGACGCCCGCCTGCGAGACAGGTCTAAACCACTTAGTAAAGTGGGTAGGCCATTTTCAAGCACTGTAGCAATCTAAGAGGTGGGGCGCCGTTTGGCTCGAAGCGCGGCTGATTGATGGTGCGAGGTTAGCTGTCTGTCGGTCGGTCCCATTTGCCCTCTCTTCAACTCAGAGCAACACCCGCCGCCTGTTTGTTGGTTTCCTCTTTTCTGCTGCTGTCATCGACTCCCACGTTTGTGCTGCTGTGGTGCTGCTGCTGGTTTTTTCTGCTGCTCGGGTCTTGGCTGCTCATATTGCCATATTCCACCTCCTCCCTGGCTTCCATCCTTGGTGAGGCACAGGCAAACAATGCTGCGGTATATACTGTAGCTAGCAAGCACCCACGACCCGCAGCAGCACAGCTTGCACAGTCGGAACGTTGGACCGAAATAGAACGGCGTTGTATGAACTATATGAACAATTAGTTAGGACAAAATAGTTCTGCACCCAGATCGCTGCGGACGTGAGTTCGTTTAGAAATATTTTTTTCCGTTCACCACCCATCCGTCTATTTGAATTTTTTCCCTCCCCGCCGCGGTGTGTGCCCAGTACGTACATGCATGCTCGTTATGTATATACTGAGTGATAGTTTCGCTGTGTCCTCTTCCGTGCATCCATCGTTCTTCGAATGTTTGAAAAGTACACGCACGCGCGCCCGCTGCTCCTGCCTGTCTGTGGATTGATTCGATCCGTCCCACCTTCACAAAAAATCCATCCACATCCATGTGGCGTCTTCTTTCTTTGAAATGTGCGACACACACCATGATGCTACGGTCACTGCCGTACAACATTCATACTGTTTGGATGCTATACGCGCGAGTACAACGCTTCTCCGCCCGCCTGTGGCCAGGATGTGTGTGTGCGTTTCCTGGGCGACAAAACGACTCTGATGAATTTCAAGTCGTTTGGCGGCCGGGAATCTGCGGCGGTCGGAGACGCAGCATATCAGAACACGGCCAATGCGGAGTGTGGAAGGAACGAACAGTGCGCACTCTATATACTATATTGCACGTTCTTGCGTCACCCCCCTGCCGCGGTGCTCTCTTTACCCCACTTCGGAGGGACGCCTTGTAGGAGTATATGGATATGTAGGATTTCAACTTATTTTATGCTTGCCTCCGTTTTTCGCTGCTGGGACACCGTCATATCTCGCACTCTCTTCTTGCATGATACGCAGAGGACCCATCGCGTTACGTGTGGGGCTCGCGAGAAACCGGTGGTGCGCGTCAGGGCCGCCTAAAGTCGCTGGGACTGGCTCCTTTTTCAGGGGTTGGGAATCCGAACCATAACGCCTCCTCGAACAGATGAAAATGACATCAGAACTTTTTTTGTGCCCCGTCTTGAGCGCCACGCGCCTGCGCCCCCGTGCAGCTGCTGTGATTGTTGTGTACACACCCACCACACAGCAACTGGCGCATGCGTACCCGCAGCGGGGACCAAGACCCTTGAAGTTGCTCATGGGAACGCATCCCGCGACACAGAAGTTCTCTCGCACAACTCTGGCAGCGGTCATTTAAATTTCAAATCCGAAAAATCGAACAATACAAATATATAGAGGTACTGTAGCAGTCTACGTCTGTAACTGTTCTTGGGCACGTTGAGACTCTCCTTGATCTGTTGTTGGTGTTTGCGTGAAAAAGTCCCACAGACGATGGGAAGCACGATCAGCCAAGATGATTAAGTTTTCAAACGCAGGGGATTACAGCAGTAGGACCTGCAGCAACGACAGCGCTAGACTACATTCAAAAGCACACACCGCGCAGAAGCGAAAGTCACCGCGGGAGCAAAAAAAAAAAACGAACATGATGGAAATTCCAGGCAATTAATATGTATGCAGGTTGCACGCAAACCGGCAGTACCGAACGTCGTGCCGACCAACCATGCGACCGCGATGACATTCATTAGAGTGTATGCGCTCCCAGTGAGCGCGTTGTTCCATCTCAGCATCAGTGGTATCTGTTCAAAGAGGCGCTGCCATTGAGCACGTTTTTGGATCTTAGTGCTCAGGCTGAAAAGGGCAAGATGCGCAGACCTGAACAGTTCTGAAAATTGGATTAATCACGTACGTCAAAAAATGATCTCTCTATATCATTACAAAGCGGTTGAAGAGTTCCTCCGTTAGCATTCTTCCGTTGGGTCGGTACTTCTTCTCTATCCCGACGTTCGCGGGGTGTGTGTGTTTAAGACAAAGGCGGGCGCGTTAGACTCGCCTCCGCTCTGTTGTCAAGGACGACCACAAACTGACAAAACCTATTTACAACATGAGCATGATATGCATACGACTGACTAGCTGCTGCTGTGTTATTTTTTTTGCATGTGAGTGGTACTTACGCATCTTTTCGTCGAGGGAAGAAAACGGCAAACCGCTGGTGGTCTGTTGTTTGCTGATCATTATTATGATGCTACAAAGAAAGAAAGATCGCAGCATGAACTGCACTGCTGCGCTGAGGTGCTGTAGCGGGCCGCTCGGTATGTTCGCTTTCATTTGCTGACTGGTTGTTGTCTAGACAAGAAGACCATTCGCGGCGCATAGGTTTGGTATCGTGTGCCGTCATGGAAAACGCTCGACCCCACTTTATTAAGAAGATACTGTGGATGTTGATAAGACCGACCGTCGAGTAGGTTGGTTGATGTGCCTCCTCGCCTCGTCCGCAGTCGCTACTCTGTGCCGCGTGCGCGCCCTCGGGTTGTTCTAAAAAAAAGGGAGCTTTCGCATTTTCAGTCGGTAGGGGACGCACTGCCCCCTGAAGTTTCTTTAAACTTCTGAAGTAACCCGGGGCACCTACAAGCCTAGTGTTTTATCTGACTTGTATAGGTGCAAATACTGAGATAGAAGACTTTTATAATCGGAATTTGAGTAAATAACGCATCGGGTTAACCTACGATATAGTGATATAAACGCTAGTTTAGCCAACGCATACACGATATTGGCCATGTCCACCCCGTGAGGCAAATCACTTACCTCCCGCAGGGGAACCTTGTACCGCAGTATCGTTCGTATATAACTACCAGATACACTAGTGTGTCTCCTCCCGTAAATATTTATTTATTCTTTGCGAAGCCTGGGTGTCCTAGTGGAGCCAAAACTGCACATCATTCACGATTTCATGTCTGTGGCGTGCACGATCATTGATGATGCTTGTCAGGTACTCCGGACAAAGGCATGGAATCCTGTTGTATTTTACCGACGGTGTCAAGTTGGATGGGAGGTCGTGCCAGACTTTTGGGCCGATTGTCTATCCACACACTACAAGTGCTTGCGTGTTCCTGCCAGGGGTTGCTGTAGTGCGCATGTTGAAGCTGTGCTGTCGTCATGACGGATGATTCTACCTATCTGTCGTTAACATCTTCGGACTTGCGGACCCTTCGGGTCCATTTGATGACATACTGGCATTTTTGTTTACTTTGTTGGGTAAGTTAGCCTGTGGCCACGGGAGTTAAGCGCCCCAAGTGTTAGACTAGTTGTTGTTGTTTTCTTTACATTAAACTCGTGTCAGTTTCTAATCCCAAAATCTAGCGAAGACTCGGTCCGTGGTCACAAAAATGCTAGAGCCACCAGAAGATCTAAAGAACACGCACACTATCAGCAAGAAAAGGGTACACAAGCCCGAGGAGGTACACCTACAATCCCTGCAGCACGTTTGCGTGCTCACAACTGAACTACACGCCCACACACTACAATTCGACTACAGCAGCAGCATCACCCCCCTTGTCCCGCATTTAACCAAAATGAATGATTGTCGACTACATAGTACTGCTGTCTGAAGTGCTGTCTGTACAACAATAACACCATGGTGCATGGTAAACAAGCTCGGGGCATGCAGCTGCTGTCCGAAGTGCTGTCAGAATGAGTCTGTGGACATACAATGAAGAAGAACACCCAACCAAAGCCATCATTGCAGTTGACAATCACCCGAATCTACCCAGATCATCTGTGTTAGGCACAGCAGTGTAAACAACGACACTGACTAGGAATCGTTCCTCATTGAAGGGGTCTTCCACGATGCAGGTACACAATTAAGGCACCCGGGTTATCCGCGCCATCTCTGCCGCGTCTCTCTACAAAACCAGTGACGTCAACACACACACCCAACACCTATATTCAGGAAAAATACGGAAAACAATTGACAACACAAGAGATACTTGTCCGTGCGCCACGGCTCGATGCCATCCACATGCTCCGGTTCCGCTGCTCCGGTTCCGCTGCTCCGGTGCCGTTGCTCCGGTGCCGCTTCTCCGGTGCCGCTGTGGCCAGTCCTAGCACGGCCAAACTCGACCCGCTCCGCTTCCTACACGCTCTCGTTGCTGTCCTTCCCAGTCGGTTCCTCGCTTTCTCCCTCGTTGCACTTAGGGTTCTTGGTCTGAAAATTCTCGCGCCGACGAGTCAACCAGCCCAATCAGCTCGTCACCACCCGTCCCCTCCTCCTTCGATGGCAAAACCAGGTTACTGAGACAGTACAGCTCCCTCTAGCAAACCTAGGGCCGTGTACACAGTGCCCGTCCACTTTTCTGATGGCGTCTGCCTCCGTGCACAAAGATGAGATGGGCATTGCTGCCTACACCGACGGCCTGGGGGCCCGCGCATCTGCACCTTTGTACCTGACGCACCAGTGCCGACCCAACTCCACCACTACGCACGCCTCGCGGCGGGTGTGCTGCAGCAAGAAGGTATCGGTCCCTTGAGGGTGAGTCTAGCCCTGCTCGCTAGAAAGACCCCCCTCCTCGCCATGGGTCATGCCTACGCAAAACCTTCCCGAGGCAGCGAGGGGAAGAAGGGGGAAGAAGGGGGCCCCTTCTTCCCCTCGCTGCCTCGGGAAGGTTTTGCGTAGGCATGACCCATGGCGAGGAGGGGGGTCTTTCTAGCGAGCAGGGCTAGACTCACCCTCAAGGGACCGATACCTTCTTGCTGCAGCACACCCGCCGCGAGGCGTGCGTAGTGGTGGAGTTGGGTCGGCACTGGTGCGTCAGGTACAAAGGTGCAGATGCGCGGGCCCCCAGGCCGTCGGTGTAGGCAGCAATGCCCATCTCATCTTTGTGCACGGAGGCAGACGCCATCAGAAAAGTGGACGGGCACTGTGTACACGGCCCTAGGTTTGCTAGAGGGAGCTGTACTGTCTCAGTAACCTGGTTTTGCCATCGAAGGAGGAGGGGACGGGTGGTGACGAGCTGATTGGGCTGGTTGACTCGTCGGCGCGAGAATTTTCAGACCAAGAACCCTAAGTGCAACGAGGGAGAAAGCGAGGAACCGACTGGGAAGGACAGCAACGAGAGCGTGTAGGAAGCGGAGCGGGTCGAGTTTGGCCGTGCTAGGACTGGCCACAGCGGCACCGGAGAAGCGGCACCGGAGCAACGGCACCGGAGCAGCGGAACCGGAGCAGCGGAACCGGAGCATGTGGATGGCATCGAGCCGTGGCGCACGGACAAGTATCTCTTGTGTTGTCAATTGTTTTCCGTATTTTTCCTGAATATAGGTGTTGGGTGTGTGTTGACGTCACTGGTTTTGTAGAGAGACGCGGCAGAGATGGCGCGGATAACCCGGGTGCCTTAATTGTGTACCTGCATCGTGGAAGACCCCTTCAATGAGGAACGATTCCTAGTCAGTGTCGTTGTTTACACTGCTGTGCCTAACACAGATGATCTGGGTAGATTCGGGTGATTGTCAACTGCAATGATGGCTTTGGTTGGGTGTTCTTCTTCATTGTATGTCCACAGACTCATTCTGACAGCACTTCGGACAGCAGCTGCATGCCCCGAGCTTGTTTACCATGCACCATGGTGTTATTGTTGCACAGAGAGCACTTCAGACAGCAGTACTATGTAGTTTTGGTTAAATGCGGGACAAGGGGGGTGATGCTGCTGCTGTAGTCGAATTGTAGTGTGTGGGCGTGTAGTTCAGTTGTGAGCACGCAAACGTGCTGCAGGGATTGTAGGTGTACCTCCTCGGGCTTGTGTACCCTTTTCTTGCAGATAGTGTGCGTGTTCTTTAGATCTTCTGGTGGCTCTAGCATTTTTGTGACCGCGGACCGAGTCTTCGCTAGATTTTGGGCTTAGCAACTAACACGAAGAAAGAAGACTAGTACGAACAGATGAAGGTGCTGGGTAGAGAGATCGGAACGGTTTATCATGTGACGACAGCAACAAACATTGAAAATATTCACGCGGATACTTAATATACTTCGCCACCACTTTCAAGAGAAATTGACAGTTCGGAAATATTCAGGATTGGTTCAAGCAATGTGTAGAACTACTCCGGTAGGAACGTACTTATTTGGAGATGGCGGGGACGCGTGGAGGTACCTCTTGGCCTCTTGTGAGGAGCAACCTGTGTACTCGGAGTATGTTCCACTAAAGAGATTCCACCGCTGACTTGAGCCCCACAGACGACAAACTCACAGAGGCATCCATGCGTTCGTGCATGGCATGCTCTCCCTCCGCACGTCTTCATCTCTTCCTCTCTTGACCTCAACAACTGGCCCTAGCTCTGGAGCATCCAGCAGGTATTGGGGGAAGATCTCACTGCAGCCCACTAGAGCTTTTTTGGCCCTGCCTGTCGCACAACATCTGCGGTATCACACGCAGCAACGAAGCTGTTGTTGCCGGGGTAGTTGCTCGGTCCATTCAAACTCTTCACAGCAGTGTCATAACTGACTGGATTACCTCTACACAAAGCACCGCACGTTGCCATATCTCCGAACCTCCTACGTCCCCCAGCTAGCCGCCCGCGCGACCTTGTCGAAGGTAAACTTTGAAGGTCACGATGCAAGCAAACGATTTGTTTACAGCTGGGACTAAGTCAGAGTATGTCTCCTCACGGTAGTTCATGCTGTGCAGTAGATGCGGACAGATGGGAGCCATAGGCACACGGTCTTGCCTCGGTTTGTAAATCCATACGGTATCCTGGAGGCCATTCACAGTAGTGCTCGCTAAAAGGTTGCGCTGTAGTGTCGTGTCTGTTCATTCTGTCCCCCAATCTTACCATATCTACTTCCTTCAACCACCAGTTCAGAGAGTGGGAGAAGGTCTACCCTCCTCACCGCGCCGCCGAATGTTTGCAAGCATGCCGTCTTGTAGAGGATCAACACTGAGGAAATATGTGATGTTATTTTATCATGTCTTATTTCATGGAGGACGTGCTTGTGTTGTGGTGTACAGTCTACATGTATGGTGCAACAACAGTAGCCATGGAAGCACGTGGGGTCGATTGCTTTTTTCCACACAGAAACGTTAGTCAGCCCGGAGATAAGAAACGTCGAATTCGGGTCGAGGCTCAGTTTCTTGTCTCACCGTCACCGTCGAGCACAGGTTGTTATTCAATGTTTTGCTAGTGTAGGATCCATCGCTGAGGTGTGTTTCTTATTCCTTCAATATTTTCTTTTTGTTCGTGAGAATGTGAGCCTCTGTTTCTCAACAAAATATTTCTGTACTGCGGGCCCGTACTCTGTCGGGCAATAGTCCATGCCACACACTTGCCATCACCATGACGTCTGCATGAAGATTATTTACTGTTGTCGCAATGCTGCGTGCTTGCTTTCTGTTTGAGGTCATGCCGGGCGCCAACGTCCGTGTTTGTCGGTGTTGTCCATTGAGGGAGCACATAATGCTGCGGCAGCGCAAGCGCTGGGTGCGGTAGGTATCATGAATCGCGCAGGGTCCTGCCATAGACCACAGCGACGCGTGGATGTTGGACCACGCACAGACGAAGGAAGGCTGACGACTGAGCTGTGGTGGTACCATATCCGGGTGCACCCATGTCTGTATCACGTTGAGTGATGCTGCTAGAAGCACTCCCTGGGTCCAAGGAGATGTTCCAAATAATCCAGTAAGGTAAATCCAAAGCAACTGCTGGTGTATGTTGTTTCGTATTGACGATCTGGAAAGGCCCGAACACGAGGGTCTTTCGGTCAATCGCCTCGAAGTCGCCATGTCGTGTCGAAATACAGGCCCTCATCGGATCTTGTACTCGCCATTGGGATATCTGATGCACTATAAGAAAAAACCTGACGCTTCTCCAAATGTCACCAGTGTTCGACGCCGAGCTCTGATACTCGAAGGTCGCGTAGGTTGGGCTTTGCAGCTGCCAAGCTGACTTTTGCTGCAAAGAATCAACAACGAGGCCATCAACCACAATGAGACCCGCCCCCCACGTTTTGCAGGCACGCGAGTGCTGAAAGAGGTTAGCGAACCTCCCGTCGAGCATGATTCAGTGTGCCTTCTACAAGACGCCGTTTTCCGTGAGTCACGCAATCGTGGTTCCGCGACAGCGACGCAGGTATCGTTGCACCTATTGCTCTCCATCGTGGAGATTCCTCAAACCGGCCTACCCCCGACATGTAGTACGTTTTCTGAATGATGAAACCTACGCCGTTCCGTATTAGATCTGCGTGGCGCCGGGGGGTACCCTTATGGCGTTTCGATATTTTGTGTGCGATCTCAAACCATTTGCTGAGAGTGCCTACGCATGCCCAAACCGATGGTCGCTTCTAAGAACACAGGTCGATGTGGATCTTGGTACATGCCTTACCTCGATGTTCTACCATGGGCCTTTCTCCGTTTTTTTCGCAGGGATGGCGCGTAAACCTGCTGCAGAACAGCGCAATCAACGATTATGGATGGTTCAAAGACTGCGCGTGCCCTACATGCAAGACGAAGGGCAAGCAATCAACCCGCAGAGAGGAAGGGAATCGAAATGACCAAACCCAAAGGTCGTCGACGAACGAACGTTTTGCAGCGGGTGCTTACATTCACTGGGACACCATGACCCGCTCATCAGATTCCAAACTCATGAAGAGTACCTGCAAATCGGTCATGAGGAATGTTGGTGCCCTGGATGACAAGGAACTCGAGGAGGATGACTCGAAGGTATCGATGGGATGCTCGCTCTGACGCTCAGGTTGTTTTTTGAAAGGATGCGCGTGTATGCTGTACCCTACCCTGCCCGCCTCCTCACACCCTGCTTTCGTCATGCATACCCCCTCACGTAGTCGCCGCTATTCCATGTCTCGTCTGTCGACTTTTTGTTGCTGGGACTCATCACCGGGTATCTGTGTCACCTAATGCTATCTCTGGAGGAGGACCAGATCAAATTGGTGTTCGATTTCCACGCACGGCTGGTAGAACAACAGCACATCAAGCATGCGTCCCGCAATATGAACATCTGGGAGTCAAGCAAACGCATAGGGTAATCTATCTGACCAACTGGCACCGCTGGTACGTCAAGGCCTATCGGGTGAGCGAAAATTCAGTCCCAAGCAGGCAAGAGCAAGAGTCGTCATCCCATGCAACCTCAGCGGAGAGTCCCTATCTTGGCATGGAGTCCATGAGAATATCCTTAGCTCTCGCAACTCGCTTGAACTTACAGCATACAGGAACCCATCGGTGGCTAAGGAGATTAGTTGCGCATTCCTGTTTCCTTGTTTTCTTTTATGTGGGATGTCTGAACAGGTCGAGGGTGCGGGTTCGCAGGAATGTAACGGAATCTACCGTGCTTGGCCGGAAGATGCGGCGCGCCCTCCACGAACACCCTACCACGATCCGGCGGCGACACTCGCTTGTCCCGTGTTGGTCCCGCAGCCGGAAGATGCGGCGCGCCCTCCACGAACACCCTACCACGATCCGGCGGCGACACTCGCTTGTCCCGTGTTGGTCCCGCAGCCGGAAGATGCGGCGCGCCCTCCACGAACACCCTACCACGATCCGGCGGCGACACTCGCTGGTCCCGTGTTGGTCCCGCAGAGCAGGGAACCTCCGGCCTACTTTCTTGACGAAGAGGGAGGTCGCGCGCTGTCACGAAGGAACACCGGACCCTACCGAATCGTTGACTGGTACATCAGGCGAGTGCCACATGCGGAAAAACTCCGGAGCAGGGGGGGTGGGGGTTGGTCGTGTGCATGCAATTGTAGCGTGCCTTTTAGCCGTTGTTCCGCGTCGTGGCGGCTTTTCGTTCTTTTGAAAGAGTGGACGCGGGTGGTTTGCTGAAGCGCGCGGGACAATGGGTGCTCCAACAGGCCTGTTGAGCTCTGAGCCGTTCTGTGGTGATAGGAGATAGCCCGAGGATTCGTATTTGATCGCGGCCACTTGCCTTAGCTTCGTTGTCGAGGCAATAGCTGACCCGGTGATGGAGTTGTTTTGAGCGGTTAGGATGTTTTGCGTTTGAAAGCCTAGTTAGCTCTTTGCGTTTTAAAACATTCACATTTTAATGTCATGTGAATGCGGACATCTTCGACATCATGGGTTGAGGAAAAGCGGGCTCCCATCCCCCGCGACTGTTTACCCTCTGCGCACGCTCTTGAACTGCCAGTAACGAGAATGCTGCTCACCAAAGCCGAGGCTCGGGGACGGATCTGTACTGCCAGCCCTACCGTCTGTTTTATCCCGTGGGTATACATACACCTGACTGCTGGCTGGAACACGGTATGTGACGTCCACAGAATGTTTTTTTTCAAACCCGGACCAGTTTTTCTAACCATTCTTGCCGGTGCTAGGGACAACCACGGATGTCGTTTTTATAGTAGAAATCAGATTGTCGAGTGGGCTAGCCTGTCACCCAAGACCCGTTTTAAGGTAGACGCCGAGTAGGACTTTTAAGCGGCTCTTGATCGACATACGTGGATCTTTTGGAATGACGGTGTTGTCTGGGTTTTCGTGTACGACCTTTGCCGTTGAACCTCTTGTGAACACATGAGGAGACACCCGACCCCCGTCCCGGCGGATTGCCGTAGAACCCCTACCAATTTACTTAACGGAACTTTATCCCAATGTGGGTCCGGCATAAAATAGGTGGGTATCCGGACGAGCGCTGATAGTTGATTCGGCGAGAGTGCCCACCACACTTTGTGCATTGGCCCAACATTGCGAGTGTCGAGAAACACCCACATAACGGTCGTCTGTGGCTCAGTATGTATGTAGAAAAGCGGCAAGTCCGCTTCCATGAACATGCGAATGACTTTAGTGACGCACGTGTTCAGGGTGCACCTTACATAAAAAACCAGCGTGTCAGCGATGGTTTTGGGTGTTTTTCCACGTTCGTCTGTTTTCTGAGCAGAAAGAAGGTCTTGGTCCGCCAACGACGGTGACACCGCTCTCCTGCGAAGGGTACCTCTGCCCGCCAGGCCAGGAATACGAGACACTTGAGTGGAAGCTCGCCAAGTGGTTGGGCGACAACGACGTGCGTAAGGGTGCCGAAGTGTAGGTTTCGCCTCCGTTCCATATTATCGGAAGGTTCGAAGAACAACGTATCACGAAATGCACCTCGCTAAACCTATTGCACCAGTACCTCCGGCCGTCCGTTAGCTTGAGGACTTGGGCGGACGTGTTCGGTTCGGGGGAATTAGGATTGCGTAAACTCACCTTGAAGTGAGAATAGTGTGGAAACAATAGAAAGGTAGAATAGAAGGTCTCTCTGGTCAGAGGCGCAGGTGTTTTTTTGTGCTGAGCACGTTTCAGATGTAAAGTATATAGTTCTCGTGGTACTTGCCCGTTGTACATGAGATATTCGGAGACAAGATCTGCGAGAAGGTAGTAGCCGGATCAGAAGTTCTGGACTTCATGGATAGGATGGGCGACACCCTTACCACCAAGCACCTTGACTTGATTTGGAACAGAGGTATTCAGCAGGACCCCAAGTTGCAGGTGCAATCAGCCGCAGTGCCCGCCTGGTCCCTCCCGGGGCACACAAACGTAGCGAAAATGGTTCATTGAGCGATGTCTGACTCGGGGCACTGTACACCACTGTATTCTGGAAGCACTGTACATCCCCGTGTTGTGGACCCCTCTCACGTTTGACATTCTTGGTAGCCCTGAAATCAAGCCCCCGGCACGCATTGTTTGTATTAATGTCCCGTCTATTGCACCGAAAACTTGGCTTCTCTTTTTCTGATCGTTCGCCGATTCACCTGGAGGCTGTTAGTACATCTGGTAGGCTGTACCGAGCATCTAGCCCGGGCGTGAATATCCAGAAGGTGTGCTGTTGACGCTCAAATCTGCGCTCCCAAAAAAGCTCCACTTCACAATATTTTGGTTCCCAGGTTGCCGTGAACGAGGAGCTTGCGATGCTGACAATAAATATGAAGGAAGAGCTGGCGCTTCACCTATTTGGGAGAATGCAGCAGGGTGTTGATGGAACAATCGCGTGGGGGGGGCATGAGGAGGTACTCGGGTTTCTGGAATATCTCGCGTACATGGGCAACTCCCTCAGGATCACAAGAGGTTGGATCACGAGCAATCATGGTCGCTTTTCGCGACAAGTAGTCAGAGAAGGCACCGTGCTTGCTAAGAGTACATATATCGGGTTGCCTCTGACTATTGTTGCCACAGCTCTGAGGTTGACAACGGCCGTGGACGATTTGAGACTATAATACTTGGAAATTCACCAGTGATTCGAAGCGTCATGCATCTACTGCATCAGCCTGTGACGAATAGGGCAAATGGGGCGTATAACGCACACGGCCCGTTCGCAGGCTCTCATGCAGGCCGTACGATTCGAGCGTAGCGCATCCATACCCCCATCCTCGATTCTAGAGCTCATCCCCCAACTGTTCATACCACTTGCAATCGTCTGGGATGGGGTTCGATGCATTCATCAAACATTTCGCCCTCACACCCCATTGGTTTCCAGGGGCAAAAAGGCTCACGGTATAACAGGATTTGGTGTGGTCTCTCTTGCGCGTTCCCAACGTCCTACGTCACGATTCTTCGAAGTCCGCTTCGACGATACTGGTGCCAGAGGATGAAGGTCGGCGGAGCTCGGATCTCGCCGATATCTTGGAAAGGTAAAGAGAGTGGACTACAAGGNGAGAGAGAGAGAGAGAGAGAGAGAGAGAGAGAGAGAGAGAGAGAGAGACAGAGAGACAGAGACAGAGACAGAGACAGAGACAGAGACAGAGACAGAGACAGAGACAGAGACAGAACAACAAAACCAAGAGCGTGTAGCAACAACCTCCTGTTGTCGGTTGCATTTGACTCACCGCTTGTGGTTGTGAAGGGAAGTGGCGTGTTGATCCTTGAAGACAGTGGTTGGAAAACTCGAAGCGTTGCTGCTGGTACGCGTTCACATGAGCCTTTCAGCGTGTTCAGTGTCCTCGCCACGGAGCGCGGGCGACAAATGTATCACCACTGTACAACACATGTTGATGCCGCTACCATGTGATATTTCAGGTGCATTACCTCCTCTCAGAATTTGGCAGACCTGCCAGCCTCCCTTGAGGTCGTCCGTCACATGCTGGAAAGAAATGTCGACGTGGTGAGTTGACTCAGTGCGCAATACGAGGAGAAAACGAAGCCGGTGTCTATGTTTGAACGTGTTTACTGGTGTAAAGCCTGCTTGCTGTTTTTCCTCTCCGGGCTCCAGGAAGCTGCGAAGCGGTAGATGTTTATGCCTGGAGCCGCACGAAGGGCCGTTGGAATATATAGTGTATGCATGATTCAGGCACCCCTTTGGTCTCCTACCGACCCTTTGCTGCCGGTTCATTTTCTCGGATGCTCTCCAGAAATACGTCCATCGACTGCTCCGCCTGAAGGACGGGAGCGGAAGTGATGCGGACGACGAGCAACACAAGGCAAGATGGGCATCGGCATTCGAAGTCCTACCCAAGCATTCCCGAATAATGGGAGTTATTTTGTGTATCCCAGCACGTAGCAGCTGAAGCTGATGCCCTCCTACGCTAGTCGGTGACATAGCTCGCAGAGCTTAGTAGCAGAAGTTCAGCAGTACTCAGTGCACAAGAAGATGATGCGATGTTGTAAACACGGCGCTCAGGGGATCGCCACAGATTTTCACAGATGCGCAGTACAAAACAGTAGAAGCAGAGGTAGGGCGGTGGTGGTAGTTTCCAAGGGATGGCAAGGATAGTAGAGGTACCCAGACCGACCGTCGTATCACTGATATCACATTGAGTGAAGTCGACCACAGAACGTCGATACGAACTACGCGGCTATTATTATTGACAATGAATGGGAATACAACATACCACTTCAAGAGCATCCCGAGGTCTAAATCAACGCGAGGATCTCGGAGTCCGATCAGGGTGCTCTTCACTCACCTGCGGAAGCGACATACATTGAGGACCTCGACCTCAACGATGTTCCAACATTACATGATCTCTCCGCCGGTCCGTGCTTTTTACTTGTTTTGGAAAACACACCCGATCTGCACAATAGGTCACCGGGTTCGTCGACCAATTCCAAGAAACGGATTGTGGAATTTGTCACGAGCCACTTCTGGACAGTATGCTGGAGAGCATCGACACTGACATGTTCGGCGTTGTTTCATGGCGATGCCGGTGCAAAGCTCCCATGGCGCACACGGCATAAATCTTCAGCTTGATGACCAACATGGACCATCCGCTTAGATGTGGTGGGTGCAGATCACCAATGACGTTTGGTAAATCAAGGAGCAGCGACAGAGAAAACGAAAGACTCAACTTTCACCATACAGACGGAACTGCAGACGGAGATTCTAGCACGGGTTAGTAGCTTTTAGCAGGGAACCTGATATGGTATCCGCGGAGGAAGAGATAAGATGAGGAAGAGCATGGTGTGGACCGTTCACTGCTCAACTGTATTTGGGAGGTACGTATGATGTGATTCCCGCCCAGTGCGGTTGCGCCGAGTAAGCCAGACTATCAACTACGGTGAAGCTGAGGGTGCTAAGATCGTGTTCCCATTGTAAACTACGTTGCCGGGCTAGCGTACGTCCCCCGCGTGTGATGCGGGGTAGACTGTGCATGCAAGTTTTGGGTTTTCAACGAAAGAGCTAATTTGATTAATCCGTTGTGCTCGCGCATGATGACCAAAGAGGGGGGAGTCCATGTATTGGTGTTGATATCGATGGCGTATAAAAAACAGGCTCAAGCGTCGGGGTGACAAGTTTCGTCAGCGCTTGAACGAGTACGTTACAACCACGCATTTATCAAAATACGCTCATTTCTTTCCTCCTCAGAAAAACAAGTCCATGCATATCCAATGCCACCATTCGTAGGGAACATCCCAAAAAATGAAGGCAAAACCAACGTGGGACAAAACTTTCACACAAATAGGTTCTAGTGCCGTCGTTACAGCCCCCGTGCCGGAGCCATCTCCTCCAATCCTAAGAAAACAATACCAAATGTATTGGAAACTTCCTGCCACATGTTCCGAGCTATCAATGGCCCCTTCGCCATTTAGGTAAAACGCGAATATACATCTCAACGTTGCAACCTTTGACATCCAACTCCGGGAAACATTCGTACCTCATGCAACTTTCGTCTGAAACTCCGAAACCCCCTTGCTCCATGAGCTATTTGTCGTCATGTATTTCAAGCAACGCTCTTTCAACCCATTTCTTCCGCGAATGAGGCCGGAAATGCACTGCGAAAATACGATTCTCAACGCAGGACTAACATCCAATCAAACTCTCAAAACCTCCAACGTGCGAATTGTCCAGTTTCCGCAGGAAATCGCGACTAAACGTAATTCCATAGGTTATGGAGTACCGAGTTTCCATGCGCAACCGCGATCCAGTCGCATTCAGTCATACGGTAAAACACGACTGAATCAAGAACCTACCAAAGACACTCCGAACACCGAATACACCTATGCATTGGGTTTCTCCGTCACCTGCTTCATGTATCCCACGACTTGTATCAATATGCCTATCTATCTGCGGTCGGTGTTTCCTCCACCATTCATCACTGCCGTATAGACTCCACTTACTATTCCAACTAGCCCGGAAGCGAAGGGTGACGATCAGAGGCAGCCCAAAGCACCAGGGATGGGGCCCCGCAGTCTCGACGTCACTCATGCCCAAGAAAGCCAGAAGCCCCGTAGAACGTGTCGACCGAACACCAGGTCGAGTCCACCAAAGCAAGCTTGCAGGTGGCTTCAGTCTCAACTAGCTGGCACCGCTAGACGACGAACTGTACCATGGAGACAAGACCTATCACTTTAAATACTTACCAAAACAAACAAAAGCACGCTGATAGACCATCCTGCGCAAGCGCTTTTGCAACTTCATCCAGCGAACAAATGTTGGCACGACTGTACCATATTCTGGGGGTAGTGCCGCCGGGGGTGCCCCACAGTTTTGGGGGGCGTGTTTTATGCGGGGGTGCCTCAAACCTCAGAGGTGCCCCTCTGCGAGCGACAAAGTGAAGTGGGTGCCCCTCGTCGTCGTCGTCCGCGTCTCGCTGGCGAGCTGCAGACACGTCAGCAATAAAGGCTTGAGTCAAGAATGCTAAAAGCTATTTGGATGTCAAGACACGCCACGGCCGCCGCTCGCCTCTCCGGTATTTTCGAGAGCATGGTAGATACACCAAACGGATGAGCGAGCACATGTTTGTGGTGCGAATAAATGTGGCCGTGGGCCGTTTCGGTCTCATCTCGAAACAGCCCGTTACAACGTATTTGTGCCTCCTACTCTTGTACACATCATTGACCC